TTCTATAAACATGGGTGTGGAAATGCATAGTTTCAAAATACAGGGTGACGAATTACATATACTTTTTTAAATTATATCTTAAAAAATATATGGTTCTGTTAAAATTTCGCAATATTATCTATTGTATTGAAATGCTAATTTAGATAGATTAAAATTATTAGCTCCAGTGGCGTCCTGGGGGAGACTATTATTGGCAAAAAAATCTAGGCCACTGCATTTTTTGTGACTTTACTATTCTTTGTTTGACTAAGCATCTAAAAATACAACTTCTTTGCTTTTTGTATTTTTTCGTACGTAACTTCGTTTTCGTTAAAAAAAATCCAAGCCATTTTATTGCGTCACTGGACCAAATTGGCTTATTAATTTTTGCACAAAAATCCATTCCTGCATAGAAGTTTGGCATTTGCGCGTCAGTTCTCCTAAAAAAGAATTATTCACGTTATTTTATTTGCGAAATTTCTCTAAAAAGCTTAGCATTTTTTCCCAATGCATCACCCTGTATCTTAAAAACTCTGTATTTCCGGACCCACACCCGCTCAACAATATCTAATGAATCACCGGGGTCAAAAAAATTAAATATCAACCCCCACTCCCTACAATCCCTAATCTCCAGTTGCCTAGACTTTGGTTTGACCTTCAGGGTAATTGTCAAGGTCTGTTTTAAACTTAACAGTAAATACCCAAAAATAAACGAATGAGATCTTTTTAAGATGACATTAACCGGGAAGTTCCAGGCTAAAACAGTTCAAGGTCATGCCTGAATGTAAAGTTTTCCTGTGTATCCATTTTCGGGGTCGTAAGTATAGGATTTCGCTTAAAAAATCGCCTGACTCTGATTTGGCATTCAAGTTCGTTGTCGAAGTAAGGGTAAAAATCCTAAACCATAAAAAAACCGCAGTGAACTCTCGCACCGATATACTTACAGAGTAGTTTGCTTCTTGTCAACATTGAGTCTAGGGATAAATAACTAATTACAACCATTTTTTGGAGAGACGGGAGAACGTAAATGCTTATACCAAAACCACAACTTGTATTCAAAGACGACATTCATCCTTCGATGTACCAGACTGACCAAGTGCTTCAATAACTGAATCACTTAATAAATTTTCTAGAAACAATACCCTTAGTTTAGAATATCAGAGTTCTGACTCTTTCGTATTTATTCTTACTTGTGATATTTGAGTTGTGCTTTTAGTACAATATTGGGTCACTATCTACATATACGTGGTACATATATCGATATTTAGTATAATCACTGTGATTGTCTGTACATATTTAACAACTTTTGATAACGGTAAAATGGTATAACAAAAACTTTCGATTCATTTAGGTTATCGATGAGGCAGAATAACTTATAGTCGTCAGTCATGTTAGTTTGCAGATGTAAGTTGATCAACGATTTCGAGTAGATTGAAGCGGATTGATAAGGAGTATAAAAGTGGAACTTGATCTTGTAGTGTAGGAAGCTGGTCTTCCCCTAAATTTTTTGCCGAATCTTGTGGTTCAGGCGGCAGCACCCCAAACATATAAGCAGTACTCCGGGTTGGGCTTTATCTGTACAAAATGATGGAGAAAAGCAGCTGCCGCTATTGTTGTGTTCGTGCCAGGCCGAGCCCAGTGATATGGACTCCAACCAGCCGAAGTGAACGTTCCTTTGGTATAAGTTGACCATAAATCCAATCCGGATGAGAGCTAGAGCGCTTCTTGTTAGCCAAGCAACAGTACTGTGGTTTGGAAACTGCTTTGTCGTATCGAGACGTGTTCTGTGACCTCTATTCCCAGAATGATTTTTGGTCTGGTGTCACAATTAATTATTTCAGACAAATCTAAAGCTTAGAAATTGACATCCACTTTTGGCAATGAGTAGCGCTTTGGTGTTGTAGATAATGATTAAATTCTGTTCAAAAATTGTCAAAATTCGCTTGAATTGAAAAAGAGGAGTTACGATATGCCTAATAATATTCAGAGTTGTGAAGAAATATTTCTAATAGAGATAACAGATTGTCGGGTTTTTCAGACAAGATTGCATCTTCTAAGAGCACCACAGATCTCTAACAGCGAGAACACACTAACACGGTGCTACTTCTATTTTGATTATAATACAACAGAAATCTACTTCAGTGAATTAACGGTAAGAATTCGACTTGATTTTTTATAACCTTAATTACTTTGGTTATTTTGGAACAGTCTTCAAGAATATTTTGTTTTTGTAGGCTTGCCATTCTGGATATAAAAAAGATGTTGAGCAGTACTAAGACTTCAGTCTACAGAATTTAGGAATATGGTCGCCAGATAAGAAGATAGTTCAGTAACCAGTCTATTGCACATGTGAAAAATCGTAACCCTAAAGCCGGTGAGACCTGACTACTTATTAAAAAATTTAAATAAACCGGCGGAAAACATGAAAATTTTTATCCAAATTCAGATTCTCAATTTTTGATGTTTTTTTGCATCTTTTTGATCTTTGCACTGTGGCTGTGATCGATGTATACAAGGTACTAACAATATTGTTTAAAATAACTGTTGCTGTTTTGAAAGAAGTTCGTTTTTGTCATAAAAACAATTTAGGTATTTGAATGATATTTAAATTTTTGTTTTCTAAAATTACATACATACTGTTAAAGTTAATCAATAAACTTTTAGATGTAGTTAAAAAAATTGGTAGGGTCTATTACCAATATGAGAAAAAATATCCATTCTCAAGCGAAACCCCAAGAAAGTCACTTTTTTAGGAAAAAATGTAACACTTGTTTAAAATTCAGCAACTTGAGTTACAGCCAACTTTCGAATAATTTAAGAAATCTCTTGTTTTAGGATCCAAAAATCAAAAAGATGAATAGAAAAATTACCAAGATCTGACATAGGCCCAAACGATTTTCACTTGATATCGTGGAGTTTCTCTTAACTTTTCTTACATCGCAGTGATATGCCTACTTACTAATCAACGAATCAATATTTTTCGTATGTGCAACAGATTGTTACTTTCAACCACAAGTGAGTTAAAATGGCTCAGTAGAGTAAAATCGGAGGTATATAATTCGACAATGATTGTCTTGAAAGGTACCTATAATTGAACTGATGAGCATTCATCAGGAATTAAGAGATTTTAGATATTTTCAGAGGTGATATACATTTATAAAGGTATCCAAAATTCCTCAAATTTGTGCGTACATAGGTCACAAACATTATATATAATATGTACAACCGAAGGTATATGGTTTTGTTACAGATTTATCTACCTGGCAGAATGAGAAATACCATGATTTTTGCAAAATAATGGAATTCTGTCCTGTTTCTTGGTCTAGATAGGCGGCAGAAACATATACCTTTACGATAATTTACCAGACACGCATCGACCAAACATATAAAAGTAGAATACACGCTTAATACTTATAGTCAAAATGTCACTTATACCCTGTTCAAACAACACTTAGTAAACATTAGGCCAAACTATTTAACAAATATAGAAGTCTACAATATCAACATTCATAATCTAAATGTCAGTTCTCAACATCAAGTAGTATTTACCTTTCGTTTGTAGCTTCTCTGAGACAGTTGGAGGACGCAAATTTGTGGTTTTGAGTTATTTTTCTATAAAATGACACCGAAAACTTTTTGAACAGCTCAACCTATTTTAAAGTCCCCAACTGAACCTAGTGAAGACTACTTCGGCAATTTTATACATGTAGTTCAAAACAATTCCTTCTGTTCATCACCTGGGTAATAACTTTATGTTTTCACCTCAAATCTGTAGTGAGCTACAATATTGCTTGCGTCGTTGCTTTTTTTTCAGATGGAAGAACTATACCTCATACTAACTCAGGATCACTATGCCAGTAAAATATAAGACTTCTTAATAAAGTCAATATCTACAAATTGGCAGACGCACCCTCACAGCTTTGCAAAGTTATATTCAAAGATCATCTTAAGGCTACTAACGTTTGACATAATCGGTTTGCTTTTGTATTCAAAAATTTATAATTCTAAATACGCTTCATATTTGTGCCTTCGTATGCAGTACATGAATTTTTTTAAAATTAATGTACCCCATAGTTATAGAATATTTTTTCCGAAAAATGAACAACTTTAACAGTATTTTTGCGAGTAGATTTCCGATAAAATGAGCTCATAATGAGTTATTAAGGATGTTTATAAACGTAAAAAGTACTTTGTGTTATTTGGCGCTTACTGGAAATAACAATTGATTATTCATAAATACCACATGATTCATGGTCAGACAGAATTATTTGTGGATATTCACATATCTTTATTGAATCACAAGTAACCTCCCACCCATTAAAAATTCATTTCCACAAATAATGTGTTTGTTTATTTTGAATTGTTATTTGTGAACCACTACAAATAAATCAAGGTTTGAGTAGTTCACCCCTCAAGAATAACCAGGGTAAAGCTTATAAAAGGATAATCAAAAACCGTTAAGATATATAGGATATTCCATTTGAAATTTTTGAGGAGTTGGGTTGCAAAATGGCGTTCACAAACAACCTGTAAAGTTGAGTATTTTTTGGAAATAATATCCAAATAGCGATCCAAATTGTATATATAGCATCACCCTTTCAGGCAGCCTTCTAAAATATACAGTGTAGTCCATTTAGAAAATGTTTATTTGTTGATGATTGAGCTTTGCTTTTAATTTTCACGATTATTGCTTTAGAAATGGAAACGTGTTGATCATTTTTATCTAATTGTTAGCATTAGGCATTAGCTGCCCATTTTTCTAAAATCACTGAGGACAAGTTATTACCCTGGTTTCAAATAACATACTTCTACCGCCGAGTAGAAATATCGAACATAATCATCTGAACGTGTTTAATGTGACGTGATACAAATACTAAAAAATAGATAATTGTTCAAAAAATATACTTATGTAATTAATGCGAGTGATTGCGGTGTTTTATTAGATAGAATCATTTTAATCTTAGAATATTACTTGCCCGTATTATGAAGGCAACTGTGGCGATACACCACTGATTTAATATTTTCGATTTATTATGTATTATTTATTTTTGTGATGATGTTGCATTTGAAGTCAACCTAAATAATAAATACCTTTCCTTGAGATCTGACGCATAAAAAAGCTTATGTTTGTGCGGTGGATAAAAGTAAGCCTCGATTTGTCATGGGCATTTCCAGAGTTGACCGCCACCCTTATCATTAAATTTTCATACACATTAAGGAAGCCTTGCCTTGAGGAGGATATCTGACAGCAACATCACAAGGTATCGGCAAGTGAGAATTGAGAATCAATGATCCTTACTGGACAATAAAAGCTATGTGTTTCTTGGAGATAATTTCATTTAAAAAGAAGTAGCAGTGTCACGCCCATAATCTCTAGTAATACTAGTAATAAATATATAAAGTTCAAGATTGATACATTCAACAATGAGAATAATATGTCAGTTGAATACAAGCTGAGATAGAGTTGACTTCAAATTTGACCTTGAGGTACGGATATGAAATGGTATAACACTTACGGATAGCTTCGTCGTACAAAATGATAAATACATCAGATGCATATGACCTAGATAAATAAGCTTCAACTTGAATCTGATTAAACTGTCAGCCGCTCTTTTATGATAAGTACATATGTAGACCTTCCGTGAAATGAGGACTGATAAAATGAGTTGCACATATTTTTGCAAATGATACTCAATAAAAGGCATGTCGGTAATCAAAGTAGTTGAGTTAGATATCTAGGTTACCTGCATGTCACAAATAACGAAAAAAAGTAAAAAAGAGTCCTTAAACTTAAGCTCTATGTAGTTAACTCAAAGTTACGTAACATCCTTGTGGACGGAGGTATTTGATGATGCATTTCTTTGTCGACTGAGTGAGTTAATGAATTCCTCATTTTCTTTGCGCACTGAAAATACGAAATGCAGTTTGTAGTTTATGAATTTTAAATAGTTAAAAATGAAGGTAGTCGTGCAAATCTATGATGAGTAAAATATGATTGATACGTGCGTAAAATTACCAGCCCCCAACCTCCAATATTAGGCCCTCAAAAATTGCTTCTAATGCACTTCTAAAACGTGAAAAAACGAAGTTTGAGCGATTTTTTTTCCTGATTGTAGATACTCGGCAAAATCTGAAAATTTTTTTCAATGCAAATTTATTTCTCGTGCTTACAGATGGAAGAAAGTTGCTATATTGAGCTAATTTTGTGACCTTTCTTATTTGAATCAAGGTACTAAAGTGTATTAAAACTTTCTTACAGAAAAAATAATGGGATACATTGACATTTTACAGAACCGTTGAACGAGATTTTGATACAACCATTTAGGTAGGCAGTACGACACTGGCTACTGTTTGAGAGAAGATATTTTAAAATTTTATTATCCTCCATGGCTTATTCATGTTGCTCTTTCGTAAAAAATCTTGCAGCTCAACTGTCCTAGTTTTCTGTTTAATATTTTAGCGAAGCGATCCACTAACCGCCAAGTCTTTTTACGAAATGATGGCTGTAATAATATACCACCATAAATGTAACAGTGTAACACACATGCCTTTTTGAAAAACCTGATGAATGTACAAAAATCCAATATAGGATCCATATGAAAAAGCAAAAGAAAGTTGGTGATGGAAGTTGAAAGAAGAAGAAAACTCGAATTGAAAATGTGAATACTGTCTTATAGAGGAAAATAATAGAATAAATAAAAATGATTTTGAGATGAATTTGCCGTTAGAAACAAATGACTATCTGATAATGTCAAGGCCTACCTAGGCAATTCTGATTTTTTGAAATAACTAAGGTTAACATCATATTGAACTTGAAACTATGCCATCTTGTGTTAACGTTAATATGCAATTTATTTTGAAACCCAACAAATAAGTTAGAAAAAAATTAAAACGATTTTTGGAAAGTTCGGTTTTGTCCATTTCTCTGCGGAAGTACATTGAATTTCGAAACTTTATTAGCAGCATCTTATTAGTTACCTAAACGTGCAACTTTCCCACATTTAACCGACTTCGTATTTCTTACAGTTCCCAAGTTCACAAAGGTCAAATCTTAAACACCCGCTATACTTAGAGGCGGAATCAACAATATGGCACAAGACATACCGAAACGTGCTATTTTCCCTGCAAATCAGTCTAGACCTCAAGCCATCGTTAACTTCCGAAACAGAAGGTGAATGTCCCAAGGTAGCCAACACCGAAAATATCGACACAAACAACATCACACAGAACGTTATAACGATCACTTTCGAAATTTTATTTCTCCGTATTTGCTTTGGAGTCAATAATTCTTCCGGAATTGCAGACGGTCTTCTCGAACTTTGATAAGACGGATTCTTTAGCGATAAGTGACTGGAACCTGTGAGACTAGGGCCACATGAGGAATGAGCACTTCGTAATGCCTTCAAACCTCTTTTAGAACAGTCACTAGATCTTCTTTTCCTTCTCTCAGTTATCACCTGCGTACTCTTCCGCCTTTTCTCGCGGTCGTGTTTTCTGTGTTCTTGGAAGTACAAGTCTTCAAGTGATATCGCTCTTCTAATCTCATCGGGCTTTTCAACGAAGGATATTGACCCAGATCGACTTCTACTCCCTTCATGGTCAGGTACTTGTAACATTACAAATTCGCGAGTCTTGTCGGAGTTTCGCATTTTAGAACAACTGACGGCGGTAGACTGCAGAGGTGAACGTTTAAATTTAAAGATAGTATAAACTGTTTACGATTGTGGTATAAATAGTGAATTAAAGTCGGTTTTCGCCATGAAACGTGCTTGAAAAAGGAACGGCTGTATTTTTTGGGGATTGTTCGGGCGATGAAAGAAGAGATCATGTTATTTTCAGATACGAGGGTCGCCTAATAAGATGTACCAAGTACTTTATGATAATTGGTTATCAATTTTACGTTTGCTTGGTAAACATTTGATTGAGATTACACATTTACTGTGTTTAGCCGCGAAATGTTTGTAAAACTTTTATCTTCATAGGCAGGAGGTTACTGAGAATGTCTTGCATTAACTCATGTTCTACTAAAATTAAGACATTATCAGAGATTTAACAACGCTTGATGATCATCACCTTCTCATTTGAAGGCTATCTGCAACTTCAAAAGCTTCAACTTGGCCAAGTGGACTGACCATTAGATCACATGTTAGAAGAGTTTCACCAAATAATAGTACAAACAATCTACAAGACTAAAAATTTATCGTTTGTTCCTATTCGATTTTTTTTCTCAAAATCGGAGGTAAGAAGTTACTTTATTCTGGTAACATTAACAAATTCGTTGTTGAAATCATTCATAAAATAAAATCAAATGCTGGTGGTTCAGATGGAATAACTTTGAATATGATACCACTTTGTATTGTGTACTTAACACATATAATCAACAGCTGTTTAGAAAGGGGATATTTCCCATATCAGTGGAAACACGCTATAGTTGTTCCGCTACCTAACTGTTCTGATCCTGCCATGGCCAACGGAGACCGATCAGCTTACTGCCGGTGTTCTCAAAAGTATTAAAACGCGTTGTTTACGAGCAGCTCTGCTCTTATAAATATATTCTAACAAAAATTTTCCATCTAACAGTCTGGATTTCGACAAGGTCATAATACAGCTTCGGCACTCTGTGATTTAACAGACAATGTAACAATGGTGCTTGTCAACTAAAAGGCAGTTGTTCTCATACTTCTTGGCTTTACTAAAGCATTTTCTAAAATAAATCATTCACTCCTTGAGTCTAAATGCAGTTATTATGAACTTTCTGCAAAACCTCTTTCGTTTATTCAAACCTACCCTGAAAATCAGTTTCCAGAAGTTCGTCTAAGTAACAGTACTCTACTGCGCAAAACATTTGTACTGGTGTACCACAGAGATCTATGTTAGGACCCCTGTTATTTTCATTATATATCAGATTTAGAAACTGAGGTAAAATCATGTAGCATAGAATCTTTTGTCGACGATACTTAGATTTTCTATTTATTTTTATTGTAATAATACCTGTGGAACACGTAAACTATCTGATTTTTCAGTGCTTCGCTATTTTTTTATCTGCAAATAAGGCTATATTACAGAAATCTGCGAGAAAGCAATTGTGTGGATTTTTATTGTTTTCTAAAATGTCATATTGCTTAGTGGTTTACTATCCCTATTTAGATATTAGATCAAGAAACGAAATTATGAATACATGTTGCAGACTTGTAAATGATCTCAGAAAATAAGATCACATATCGAAAGCCATTAATGACCTCAAATGGATCAAAATTGATGAAATGTATAAATAACAGATCCTAAGACTTTCTCAATTCCACGCCAAAGCACATCAAATTATATAATTGTTTAGATCGTAGTTTAAAAGAAACTAATTCATTGCCTAAATTCAAGCAAAAAGTGGAAGAAGTCTCTCCTTGATCAGCAGCGAAATCTGATGTAACCCATAAGTGTTAATTGAGGTGCACTTGACATACGTCAAATTTTTGACAGCTCTGTCATTAAAATGGTATATTTAGTGTTAATTTTTCAAAGTGCGATAATTGTGGTGCTAGCCGGTTCCAAGACAAGGTACTTTTTAAGTAAAATTGGCAAAGAGCGGTACAATCCTCATAAAGGTAGATGTTTCTACCGGCAAGTATTATTATTATTATGTTGATAGGATGCTGTCACTTTGGTAGATATTGATAGATAAATGAGTCAAAAGTATTCACTAAAACTATGCAACCTTGTCACCAAACAGCGCAGTCATGCTTGGCTAGTTTTAATTTTTCCGGATTCATTGGGAAACACGCACAATATACGGACCTCCCCTTGTATAATTATTTTGTCGGCCAAGCTATCGTCGAAGATTACTGTTTATAGGATGTTGTTACTGACATCGCTGATTACTTTCACTATAGAAAACAAACATCGTAAGCTCTGGGGGTAATGAAACCGAAATTCGTGGTAATACATGGTGTACCAAAAACACAGTTGTTTTCCAAACAATCATAAAGTTGCTTATTCCTAACTCGAAATGATTGGTGTTTCTACCTGAACAGTTTGAGTGCTCAGTACGAGGTATGTTAATTAAGTGGGGAGACTGGCAAGGTAGCGTTGGATCTGGCAACACTGGAGGCGCCGCGCTTGGAGAGGAGACAGTGGAATATGTGATCCGCTTTCAGTACAAATTTGAACTTGATCGAGCGATTTTTTTTTGTGAAACAATTTTTTCTTCTCGAAGTTGAAAAATCAAGGAACTCATTTTGGGACAGGCGAAAGCACTCAAATGGGAGTAACCGACCAATTGAAAGCTATTCCAGTATTGGAGATACAGCACTGCCATGAGGAGTGGAAGAACCACCTCCAGTAGGAATTATTTTGAAGGTGACAATTTAAAATTGTTGTCATATTTTTATTTCTTAGTATCAGATTATTATATATACCAAGTATGACTTTCTGTTAAACTTATTCATAATACAATGCCAGGCTCTATCCTAGATCTTTAAGCTCCTCCAGTGTGTGTGGACTATTGGACTACACTTTTGACTTTAGATAACCCCACAAAAAACAATCCCATGGCGTGAGGTCGGGTGACCTAGGAGGCCGGTCAATGCCTCCAAGCTTCGATATATTTTTTTTAAGAAAAAGTGCTTTCACCGTATCTATCGATTCTCTGGAAGTATGGGCAGTGGCCCCATCCTGTTGAAACCATGTGTTTCTGTTAAATCAACGTTCTGTACTTACATTAGGAGTAAAAAAGTGCCAATCATGTTCTTGTATCGCTTGGTATTTACTGTCAATGCATGACGGTCTTCATCTTCAAAGAAATACGGTGCAATAATACCGCTGGAATATATGGCGCACCAAATAGTCACCTTTGGATTATATAGCTGTTGTTGTTGTTTCTCTTTTGGGTATGGCGCCCAACATCTGCAATTTTGCTTGTTCACTTAACCCTCTAAGTAAAAATGGGCCTCGTCACCGAAAACCACGTTCTCGAGTCTGCATTGCGTAGGAAAAAGGTCAACATCTATTCAGCACAAGATATCCGTAATACGTAATCACTTTCCTTTAAAGCATGGACTGACTGGGTTTTGTAAGGACGAAAACCCATTTTTTTCTTCATTATGCCATGCAGTGTTGACCCAGGGATTCCCAAAGCAGCGGAATGTTTCCGCACAGAACGCCGAGGATTTGCAATTGGGCATTTCTTGGTCGGCGAACGTTGTATCGTGTACAAAATTACCGAAGGACAGCTGCGTATGAGTCATCACTCTTAAAGTAAGCCTCGATAGCAAAGGTACGTTGCGCTCCGGCCCAACGTTCCATTGTGAATATTTAACCCGCACGCCGAACGCGTCGAGCAAGACCTCTCCCCACCTCCTGGCATATACGGTTTCAGCTAGTTTTTGAAGCTGGTGAGTCAATGTGAACAGAGAATGGTTAGTTGATAATGTTGTTTGTTGCAACGTAATGTAAACTTACCCATTTCGTCAATAATAGGTGCCATTCTTAACGTGATTCCAACCAGAAGCATACACATAAAGAGAAGCAGGCACGCTGTTGCTACAATCGTCCACTTGGCCCCGCCTTGATAATTCGTCTTCGGTTAGGTTTTTGTAGGTCTCATGCATCTAAAAAAAGAACTGATGTATCAAACTCGATCATTCAGTGTGGTGCTCCAATTTATAGAACGGTATTAAAGAAAAAATACAGGCAATTGATAGTTAAATGCGTGCGAAAAGCAGCACTACGCGTGATCTGCGATGTCGACTGAGGCACTGCTAGTGGTGGCAATGCCGTTAAAACTGTCGATACTTCAACAAGCTAAGCTTCAGAGTTCCGATTTACGTAAATTTCACAGATAAACATGACGAAGCTAGAGACATTGAAGAATATCAGTTGGAAAAGTACCAGATGAAAAAAATATTGAACAGGGTGTACCTCAGGGTTCAGTGCTTGGGCCGATTTTATTTCTGATATCCATCAATGATTTGCCGAAACACAAAAATGGAAACTATATACTATTTGCTGATGATACTGCGATCTCTGTCAGATCGAAAAATATTTCTGAGCTTTTTGGGAAAGCTGTGATCGCAGAGTCGACTGCCAAAAACTCGATTGATGCAAATAGGCTGAGCCTGAATGAAAACAAGACAGTAAATACGATATTTTCGTTGGAAGAACCAGAAATACAACATACACAACACAAAAAAGTCTGGGTATACACAGAGACAAGAAATTGAATGGGACATGCACATTCATGAAACAGCAAAAAAAAGCTGAGAAAAAACAGTTATTTACTTATCGTACGAGTTGAATAGTGAAACATTGAAGTCAGTTTATTTTGCTCTATGCTGCTCTTTGATATCGCATCGTATCTTAGTTTGGGGTCATGGAATCAACGATTCTGTCTACAGAGTCGGGCAATTATTCACTAAAGTTTACTAATGATTGCAAACAAGCACTCAGAAAATCGAGTATACTGACATTGCCTTAAATATACAGGGTGGCGTATCGAAAACGAAACAGATGCACTTACTGGCAGCTCAGTTTTTTTTTGGAAAAACGTTCAGACCCGTCGATTTTGTTTTCGAGGGGGACACAAGTTTGGCAATAAATCACGTGCAGTCCCCTGGGCGGGGGTGACAGCAACCCTAAAATCTTAAATGGAAAGGGAGGGTCGAGTGATACCTTATTTTAAAGGTCTTTCAATTCCCTTTATAATGATGTAACATACATAAGCTTCAGTTCAGTACTTTTGAAGATTTATTCATTTAAAGCTTAAAGTAGACTTTAACAGGTATATCAGATTAGTTTGCACTACTTTCAGAAGAAATTTGACTAATAGAATTTACTTAATAAGTAAATGCTTTGGAGCATTTTTTTGTGGCAAAAAAGAAGTTATTTCTTGAAGAAAGATAAGGAAATATCTCTTACTTATTTTATATAGAAATTTAGTATACAGTTTGCGATTGATTTGACCAAACTTTGTTGCTAAAATAACTTGTAACGCTTTATTACATAAATTAACCAAGGTATATTCCACAGCAGAAAGAGTTGAAATTATCGAAATATTTTTCGGAAATAATCAGTGCGCTAATAGAACAGCAGAAATATTTAATGAGCGACATCGAAATATGTTCTAGAACTTGTAGCTAAATTTCGGAAAACTGGGTCAGTCGCCAATAAAAAACGCAACATTGGAAATCTCATAAGGAACGAAGCAATAGAAGTGGGGGTTTTAGGGCAAGTTTATGTAGATCCTACATTAAGTACCCACAAATTGGATACGGTGTGTGGTGTTAGTCGACGTAATGTCCAACGGATTCTAAAGGCCCATAGTTTTCATCCGTATAAAATTCACCTGGTACAAGAACTTAATGAAGACGATTTTGATCGGCGATTACAATTTTGTGAAGATATGAGTGAACGAATTATAAACGATGAACATTTTCTATTCAACACTTGCTTTTTCGACGAATGTTCCTTTTTCTTAAATGGCGTAGTAAAACGACATAACTGCCGATATTGGTCCGATTCTAGTCCCAGAATTGATCATGAGGTTCATACACAGCAGCCACAAAAATTGAATGTTTGGTCCTTTTTTCTTACCTGGAAGTTTGACCAGTGAAATGTATTTGGAATTACTGGAAGGCGCCATAGATCCTGCATTAACAGCTATAATTGAAAATCAGAATGATCTGCGGTACATTGCGAATAGGTTGATGTTCCCACAGAATGGTGCCCCACCACATTACGCATTAAGTGTTAGACAATATTTAGATCAGACGTTAACAGATCGATGGATTGGTAGAACAGGTGCCATTGAATGGCCCCCAAGATCGCCATATTTATCACCTTTGGATTTCTTTATGTGAGGTCATTTAAAAAGCAAAATCTATGCTACTCAGCTAACATCATTAGAAGACCTGCGACAAAAAATTGTGAATGAGTGCCTTCTAATTACTCCTCGAATATTGCAAAATGTGCGGCAAGCTTTTGAGCAAAATCTTTATTATTGCATGGAGAGTCATGGTGGTCATTTTCAACATTTACTTGCCTAACGGGTCAGTTCATTCTTCATTTTTAAATTACTTTGCTGCCAAATGTATTGATCTCCACTAATGATGATGTTTTAGTTTTATTTAAGATTTAAATCAATAAATCTTCAAAACTACTGAACTGAAGTAGATTAATTTCAAATCATTATAAAGGGAATTGAAAGACCTTTAAAGTAAGGTATCACTCGACCCCCCTTTCCATTTAAGATTTTGGGGGTGGTGTCGCTCCCGCTTAGGGGGCTGCACGTGCTAACGTGATTTCTTGTCAAACGTGTATCCCCCTCGAAAAAAAATCGACGGGTCTGAGTGCTTTTCAAAAAAAAAAACTGAGCTGCCAGTAAATGCATCTGTTTCGTTTTCGATGCGCCACCCTGTATGTTTATGAAGCCCTGGTGTATGCTAAGCAGTACTCAAATTGCTGTTTACATACATCGCATACTGACTGTGATACAAGGAGTGCTGGGAATTTGAATATTCCTTGTGTAAAATTAACCATAACTTTGAAAATTACAGCACCCAAATATTACGATAAATTACCACTGCAAATAAATTTAAATGCGTTTAAACAGAAAATAAGAAGTTTTCTTGCTGAAACTGTTTTTTATTCATACAATGAATTAGTACTTATACCTCAAATTTTGATATGTAACTGTTATTACTTTTTAAATTGTTTTCATTATTCCACTGTAAGTTTTTATACCCACATTTAGGTTCTTACATAATTTTTATATACAGGGTGGTCCATAAGTCCTTTGAAATTTCAAATTTGAATAAAATTTAACGGGTGAGCGTGAGCGGCGCGGGCGAGGTGGGGGCAGTATCTTCAGTGTCTGGGAATTCAGTCGCCATGGAGTGTTTCACTGGAGCGGATCGTGCTTTTTGTGTGCGCGCGTTTTATCAAAATAATGATTCGGCAACCATTGCGCGGCGTAAATATCGAGAATACCACAATTTGACAAAGTGTCCAACAGCTCAAACGATTGAGAACTGGGTTGCTAAGTTCGAAGAGACTGGTTCGACGTTGGATAAACAGCGGTGGGGTCGACCAAGGACAACTCGTATTGAAGAAAACATCAACATTGTGGCACAGTCTGTTCGTCAAAATCCTACCCAGTCTACTCGTAAGCGTTCCAGTGCACTAAACGTATCCAGAACATCTTTACAGCGGGTTTTAAGGAAAGATTTACGTCTGCACGCTTACAAAATTCAGTTAGTGCAGGAATTAAAAGATAATGACGCTATTCAGAGACTAAACTTTGCGAATGAAATGTTGAATCGATTTTCTTCGCTCAATAATGTGTTGTTCTCGGACGAGGCTCACTTCCATTTAAAGGGGCATGTAAATAAACAAAATTGCCGTTATTGGAGCCCCGAAAATCCAAGGCGTAAGCATCAGAAGCCCTTACACAGCCCTAAAGTTACAGTTTGGGCTGCTAGGTCAGCGCATGGCATCGTAGGCCCTTATTTTTTGAGGACGACAGAGGTCGCGCATTAACTGTTACTTCGGAGCGGTATGTAGCAATGATAGAAGAGTTTTTGACACCAGCGTTGCAGAATTTTCCAGGCTATAATACGCAGACCTGGTTTCAACAGGACGGAGCAACTGCCCACACCTCCAACACTTCTATGCCCGTCGTCTGTCAGCTTTTTCCCAGCAAAGTAATTTCTCGAAGAGGAGACATTTCCTGGCCACCACGTAGTCCAGATTTGACCCCAATGGACTTCTTTTTATGGGGCTACCTCAAGAGTAAAGTGTACGACACCACTCCGCGATCAGTTGATGTCCTGAAAGAAAATATCCGAAGAGAAATGACAAGCATTACAGTGTAGACTTGCCGCGCAGTCATCGACAATTTTAGACGTCGTTTATATGAGTGCCGTGATCGTAATGGATTGCATTTAGACGATGTGATTTTTAAAACATAATTCCCATTCAATAAAGATGATAACAAAATATAATAATTCTTCATAATGTAACTAGTTTGGTTTTATTCCCTTTTTTCCAGCTCAAAGGACTTATGGGCCACCCTGTACATAATATAGATATTTGTCATCTGCAATGTGGATTCCCTTGTAGTCGTACTACTATGACAATTCGATTATATATGTATACTATAGAATTTGTTACAGATTGACGTGTGTAAGAACTGTATGGACAGTTACGCCAATAAAGTATTGTAGTAAAATCATTTAAGCTGCAATTTCTCTTCGGCGACCTCTCGGAGATCCTTTCCCAATTTGCTGCCCCACCCCACAAACATCCGAGACATATTTAATCTAAACAAGGATAAAAACTGCTCTAACTTAAGTCTTTACCTCTATTGGGTCAACCAAATGAGCATGCCTCATGGCATATTTCTTCTTCATTCTCCTTTTTCTTCTCCTTCTTCTCTTTCTCCGCGCCCTCCGCAGTGCTTCTTCGGATATCATTGCATCAGTTTCTATGCCATCATACCCATCTATCTTTAGCGAAATATAGTCGTCGTCGTAGTGAGAACTGAAATAATTTCGTTCTAGTATGTTGAAATTCGCTAAGAAAATCTCGTGAATCTCATAACGCCATTAAGGAGTGTTTAAGCGATTTTCATTTTTTCGTTTTTTGCCTTTTTCTACGCCACTACTAGACCAATTTTCAAAAACTACAAAGTTCGTTGTCGACAGGAAATGGGTGACATGGCTTTTCATCATGTACGTGTTATATAACATCCAAAAACAGTTTCTCAAACTTTCGCGATTACAATCCTTCCTGGCCCAGTGACGTAGGAAGTAAAAATATAACGCCCAGTAAAAATCTGTTTACTTGAATGATATTTTATATAGATAGATATGTATGCAAGAGGAAGACGTGTTTAAATTTGAAATCAAAATCATAGTAAAATGATTCTTACTGGGTGTTTCACTACCTTTATCACTATGTACATTAATGTACTTGTATCTTAAAATGAAGGAAGCCTAAGTCAATTCAAGATAATTGCTCCTGATCTAAGGGCGATCTCTTAAATGTATTGACCACGGGGGGTGGCGTCTATCTCCCAGTACAAACCACCTGGCAATGTATTACAAATTAAGGTACTACTTACATTTGTCCGCTAAGATCTCTGTTACAGCAACAACTGTGCGGTTCCTCAGCTAACGACGGGCAGCTATTGTCTATATAAATGTGATCTAGGTTCTCAGGAAGACGTCTGTCATCTTCACTAATGGAAGACCCTTCGAAGCTTGGACCCCTGCTGCACTGGTACCGCAGTTCTGGTGAAGATAACGACATTTCGTGTCTTGACACTGAAATCAACAATGAGGAGAGTAATGCCTTGAAAAATGATGCCCAATAAGATTGATTTGTTCCAGTTGATCATCTAGCTGAGCCAGTCAAAGAGAATATAAGCCAACATTGGAAATTTTTGCATCGTAGTAGTAGTAGCATATATTCCACGGTACGTAATTTAATCTATATTTTATATATGATATACAAATGTGAATGTCTATCCAGTCTGAAGTACAATACGGGATGACATTTGTACACTTACGAGTATAATTGAAACCCAAACAAGGTTAAAGAGTGCTCAAAAAGAAAAGGTAAATCAAAATATCGTTAAAAAATACATTTCCTATAGGAATAGGTTGAAAAACAAGTTTGTGAAGTTTGAAAATATTCATCCTTCAAGGTCATTTGCAGGTCATGCCGGTTTTCTTAAGTCAAGCCCCTATTTTTTAAAAAAGAATTGTAAAATGACCATGACTTTGACAATGACCTTCATGGATTTTTGAGGGTATCCACAATGTATGGAAAGGGCAAAATATCCAGGAAAATACGTTTCATAGAGAAACGCTGTAAAATTTGAAGATCCATCTGATGTTGGCCTTGAACGTGACCTTACTATGACCTCCAAGCACATTTGAAGGTCAAAATAGCTTTATTAAATGATATTGAAAACAAACAGAGCACGCCATTACCTTGACTATGACCACTAAGGTCATTTGAAGGTCAAATGCATTTTTATTGGGAATTTGATTCCTGAAATGGAAATTGCGAGCAATTTCAAGTTCAAGTACATATTTTTCAATACACCTGACCATAACCTTCAAAGTCATTTTGAGATCGAATAAATTTTCAAATAAGCTCCTTACATTTTGTTGGGGATACAAAAAGATTCCTTGAGAAACATCTAGCGGAATAAACGCGCAAGGTTTTAACAATACTCATCAAAAGGTGATCTTCAACGTGACCTTAACGATAACTTTGAAGGTCATTTGGAGGTCAAGACAGTCTTCTTAAATGAAACCCCTATCATCGACACTGGAAATGTAAGGAGCGGGAAATGTTACGTTAAAGTGGATCTTTGCCCATGACCTTGTCCATGATTTTCACGGGTATTTGAGAAATTAGGGAAGTGACAAAATATCTTTAAATACGTTTATAGAGAAAAATGCTGTGTAAAAATTGCAAGGTTTGAAGAGAGTTATTTATTAGTGACCTTGGACGTGACCTGGACAATGACTATCAAGGTCATTTGAATCTCAAGATAGATTTCGTAAGTAGAAACCCTTATTTTTGAACCGGAAACATGAAAGTCAAGAAGTTTTGTGTTCAAGTAACTTTATGACCTTGACTACGACCGTCAAGGTCATCTGAAGATCAAATAGATTTGTAACGGAAACATCTATTGTTAATTCCAAGGTTACAAATTGCAGACAATTTTAAGTTCTAGTATTTAAATGAACTGGTTGACCAAGCTGATGAATTGCCAAAAAGCACTGGTTGGAGGTCAGTGGTCAGAGAGTTTGCAGCCCAAAAAACCTCCGAACGACGCAGAATGTGCTCCGAAAACTTATCTTTCCCTCCATACTGTTCACATATAACATCACAAGCAGCACCATTTGTCGACTGGCCAGACAGCGGTATCGTCAGCAATTTTAACTAGGCAAATAGTGTAACTGGTGACCAATCTCCAAAATAAGCTTTCGTCGTTGACAGAACTTCCATACATTTTAAGCAAACCTGATATTCTGTTGCCTTCCAGAACCCTTCTCCTTCCTTTTAAAGACTCCAAATGCTAACAGAACCTCTCATGAAGAGAAAAGGAAGAATGATAAAAACTCTCACAAACATCTCACCTCATCAACAGATCTTCAAATAAATCTCATGACCAACTAATATAGAATTTTGTACGACGGGAATTAGTTTCTCTCTCACCTGGTCTACTAATTCGCTGCATATCCACCACATGATGCTCCTTCCTTTTCACACCAGTCTGCTTACGTTTCTGCTCGCTCTTCTTAATGACCTGACTAGAAGCATTGCTAGAAGACTTTGATTTCATCCTGAGCTTGTTAAGCAGCCTTCTGGGACTGGACATCGCGCTTTCGTTCTTCAAGGCTTCCACTTTGTTCTCCACCAAGGTGTGCAGGATGGCTTCTAGCCTTGCAACGCCTAACATCGCGGTCTGCTTCTGGATCTCGGCGCAGAGGTCTTCGGTCGAGACAGCCTTGTCCGTTGTGGAGGCGGTCATCTTTTCGTCACGAATGGGGCATAACTGAAAAACGTATCAAAATTACGTGCCCGATAATATTCCCCAACGGTTCTATTTGTTGCTAAACTCGAGACTTCCGCTTAGAGGTGTCTGACATATTTGTTACGATTCTGATTACGTATTTGATATCGATTTATTGTGGCATTGAAATGTTGAGCGAGAAATGACCACTGCTGTAGTAAGTACTGCATCCCTTTAAATATTGGGTATATTTCTCTGAAACCAGACCAGTGCAAGGCGAATGACTTTACTCTTCAACCACGCGGGCTGAGCTGAGGGTTTAGTCTAGCGAGCTTTCTGCACCCAGTACATCGAGGAAGGCACACGAGGCGGCCGAAACGTCAGTGAACTACATTTTTACACATCTGTGGTTTTATTTAGCGGCCAGAAAAACATGGTTAGATTTGCAAGAGATTTCAAGAAATAGGAGTTTCTAGAGTAGATTTAATTTTATGTTCTAATACACCAAGTTTACTCGCAATACCGGACTGACAGAGGCTTATTATTAATGAAAGTAAACATATCAATATCCCTTGATTTGTTAGCAAAATCCATTTCAAACGAAAGAAAAAATCAAAGAAAAGTGAACGTTGATGGAAACGCTGTTTATTTGCTTTATTAATTTCTGCTTAGTTCCAGGGACGGATGGATTTTTGATGATTTGTATAAGATTATATGAGAAAAAAAAGCGGCAAACAGTAAGTGAGTCACTTTCTATATTAACATAAGAATTGCAGCTTTCTTAAAGAGCAGAATGAGATGAGCTTTGCTTTTTCCTTATTTGGACTCATCAGTATGATATAGCAGTCAGGCTGTCAAGGTTGAGGTATCAGGTTACTAGACCTTATACTGTAACCTGTCGCTAAAAGTTTAGTATCCTAGTTGACCTGCTATGGTCAAGTTGTATATATATAGCTGTTCTAAGAAAATGACGTCAATCCATGGATGACTATGATCAGCACAAATTAGCCTCCCTAACTACACCACATAACCTCTTACTTTTTGGCATCCTTGTGTCAAAATTTCGATTGCCTGAATTATTGGCCAATGAGTGACAGGCCAAAAGATCGTCGGCAGTTAATGATAGCTTCTCGTAATGATAACATCCAAAAAACATATCCACATTTCCTCTTCGTAATTTCTGGCGTTCAGATTTCCTTGCCAGTTGACGTGAGGTTCACTTCAGAGCTAGCGTGAATAGAGGCAAAATGTAAGCTAGTTGATGCAGCGATCATCTGGTAATAGATCGGATTATCAATTTATTATTAATGAATTGCTTCAAAAGGGATATTTCATTAAATATGTATGGAGGTTAGATGACCGGGATATTTCTTAGGTATAAATAGATAACTCAGCTCTTTACGAAGGCATTTTTGAAAAATTTCTTAAAGGCCATCTAATGAAGGATAGTAACTTGTAGCGCATAACTTTCACGATCATTTCCTGCTCAGAAAAATGATTGAAACTTAGAGCACTAAGTTAGCTTTGAGCGCTAAACAATCGTGAAGCTTCGAGTGATCACTTTTCGGGTGCAAAAGAAGTCGCTTGGTACCACTCATAAGGGTATAGCGTCAAATTGACGTCGGATTCGAAGTTTGAGTACCGATTTGCTCGAAAGACAAAGACGCGATCACAGATCATAGACGCGAATAAAATAAGAAACGGTTAATGTTACATCAGAGCCAGACTGGTTTATTAAACGCCAGACGTGTCTCGAACCGTTGACCGCGTAGGTGCTCCTTCAATTTCTGAAACGCTTTGCCAGGGCTTCAAGGGTTTAAGGAGGATGGACAATAACTTCCCAGCCAAGTCGCTCAAAGCATTACCTACTAACCTTAAATTATATGTACCTATCTTATGATCCCTACAAATATGACTTCTGTAACACTAGGTTTGTCTATTATACCGTACCATAAGTCAGCCATACTCTCTTTAAACCTAGTCGTAATAAGTCTCTCAGTTTGTGGGTCTACTGCAGTCGCCACAGCTGATCTCATAAATTCCCCACCTTCCAATTTTGTCTTTCGGGTTTCTCAACAAGTCTTTAAGCTTAAGACCAGACTGACTGAATTAAATAAACCGGTTTTGTGGTAAAACTCTGTTGTAGCAACATTTGCTACGCCAAAGGCAGCGACGTCGTATACATTCAGGAGCTGCAAATTCCAATTATTACACAGAGAAATTAATCAGGAATGGAGTCTTTTTTTATATCGAAGAAGCCGCGCAGGCAGAAGCCTAAATGCCGGAAGACCGCGGCTGCTATGATGATCCCAAAGAAATTTTGTTACTACGATTCTTGAACTGCCAAATGTTAGTAGAACTGGGAAAAGCTTCCTCTTGTAGATTGTTCCACAATCTCGACACCCTCGGGACAAAGGAGCGGTCGTATCGGGCAGTTCTGGATGTACGAAGTTTGACATCGTTAGGATGGGACGCCAAAGTCAGGCGGGTCTGCCTGGCAGGCACATCGCGCGGCGGCATCATGGAAGAGAGCTCTGGGGAGCAAAGCCCGTTGGTGTAACGGTAGAAAAGAGCTAGATAGCCGACAGCTCGCCGGTGCGAAAGAGTCCCGAGACTGTCTGTTAGAGAAGAGTCATCGATCAGTTGGACCGCCCTCCTCTAGACAGCATCGAGAATGGATAATGTAGTCGGGGCGGTAGCACCCCAAACATGTGAGCCATACTCGAGGCTAGGCCTTATCTGGGCCTTGTATAGAGTGAGAAGGTCATGCGGAGAACAGTAGTTCTTAGCCCTAAACAAATAGCCTAGCTTTTCCCAGCAGCTGCTGCTATTGACGAGATGCGTTCGTGCCAGATCAGGTCCTCGGTGATCTGGAATCCGACCAGCCGAGAGGAATGGCTCTTTGGCAGAACTCGGCCATCCATCAAAACCGGATGAGCGCTAGGACGCTTTTTGTTCGTCAAAGTACAGTACTGTGTTTTGGAAGCATTGAACTGTACAAGATTGCTCCGTCCCCAAGCAGTGATAGCCTCGAGGTCTCTTGTCAGAGAGGAAATCGTCGCTAGTCTTCTTCTTTCCAGCTCAGCGGCAGAGATCGGCTTGTCAATCTGAATTCCTGCATGTAGAGTGCTGTCATCGGCGAGGCTGTGGATTGGGTTGATCGTGCAGGAAAGGAGGTCGTTGATATTTAACAGAAACACTGTCGCAGCCAAGACCGATCCCTGGGGAACACCCGCGTTGACGTTGTGGGATGAAGAGGAGAACCCGTCAATTAGCCACAGCTGATCGAACGCTTTCGTGAGGTCAAGAGCAACCACATGAGCCTCATCATAAGACTGGATGAATTTACTGAACAATTGCGTGACGTAGGCTGTGGATCGTTGGTGCCGGAAACCATACTGCCTGTCGCTAATCAAGCTGTGACTTCCGAGGTAGAAGATCGCACCTCTCCATCACCTTACTTATAACAGAAAGCAGAGCTATAGGCCTACAGTTGTAAGGGTCGATCTTAGATCCTTTTTTTGGGATGGGTTGGGGATGAGCAAATTTCCAGTTTTCTGGAAAGGTGCCGGATTCATAAGATATCTGGAAGAGACGCGAAAGAACTGGAGCAGGCTCCGCTGCACACCTCTTCAGCACAATGGCAGGAATCAAGTCCGTACCAGAAGCTTTGTTGATGTCTAGCGACAACAGCACTCGTCTTATGGTCTTATGCCTGAAAGTTACCTCCCGCATAGTGTGGGGAACCCTTTGAATTGACGGCACTTGGGCATTGGGGGGGACGTCTACCTATTATAAAATAATTTATTTTGCTATTAATTTTACGGCATGTCCACAATACCTCGCCAACACGTTGTTTTACTCCAACATTTAATTAAACTTGTATATCATGTGTTACAGCACTTTCCGGCTCAGATCGTTCTAAAGCCCAATCTATTTAAAGAAAAATCCGAACAATAAAGGTCCGTGATAATACGTATTTTCCACAAACAACTCGGCAATTGTGAACTATGTATCTCTGAGTAAAAATAGTACAAGGCTTCTGCCAAAAATCAATCAATCATCTCGTTCCTAATGGACATATAAAATCGGTAATAAAGCTTTTATGAGGTACCATAAATTTTGGGAACTATACGTGTCGTCATGCCATTCCTCCTGCGTGATCACGTGGGTGGTGTAACAAAACCTTTACTTATAGCCGTGATATCGAGATGCACAAACGATTATGATTGTCATCACAAACATTTTTAAATACCCGAACCGTCTTAAAGAATTTTCAATTATAACTACACTGATCCTTGATGCAGGTGAGAGGGTGCAACTAGTAGATGACGTTTCCTTAACATACGTTAGTTAGGTGAACTGTATTCCTTCTACTAATATGTCGAAGGATTTTGGAGATAAATAAATCGTAGGCTTCTACCTAGTTTGAATTCGTTATGCTAGACGCACCTGCCACGCATTCACTTCCGAACTAACGAACTCCCTACGTTGCTTTTAAAGAAGTTTCCCCTAAATTATTCAAGTTAGCAAGATGAAATTGTTCTATGAACATTGTTTTTTGGCACAAAAGTGGCAGTTGAGAATTTCAAGGTTGCGACTGGGCGCCATCTTAGCTCAGTTTTTCAAATGGAATATGAGTAATTTGTAACCTCAGAACACAAAATTGACTGCCTGGCAGGCTATTCAAGTTGAGCGTGTTTGACATAGATTTGTGCTTAGCTCAAGAACGAATGATCAAAACGCTATAGCCTTTTATACGAATTTTATTTCCTTGAAAGGACCTTCATGATAATCTATCGATTTCTCTAAACGGTAGGTATGTCGCATACTTAACAGCACGTTCAGATAGATCCTTTCAAATGAGGAAGGTTAATATGCTGTAGCGCTTTGACGATTAGCGGTTGAGTTACAGGCAGTATGTACAAATATTCTCAACAATGACAGCCCATTTTGTAAGACAGTAAATTTATAATCTACGGCTACAAAGCAGCTTCAAAATCAGGTATTATATAACCCCCTGTTCCGTTTTAAGAGAAAGTTCATTGGCACTGAATCTTGGAATCTTCAACTTACACTTTTACACGAGTACTTTCTGTATTCTGTATAGAAGAAAAGCGACCAGACAAGATGACACCACTTAGGCCTGATTGGACCCTTTCTACGTCTTTCATGAGGTAAATAAAATCTGGATCATCATACACCTTGGACTATTACAAAAGGTGGTATGATGCGACTCAGTCGAGTCTCCCTTAGACTAACCATAGAACGTCAACGTTCACCCAAAATGGATTCTCAGATTCATAGGACAGTCGGTCAGTTGCAAAGCAAGTCCTCGATGAGTATCGCATCTTCCTATTCACAACCTCTCTATACAATAACACACAATCTCATATAACAAAAGTGTTTCCCTAGCTGACAGAGTCCAGACGCAAAGCCTGTGTCAAATCGAAGTTGTTGACTGGTTGTAGACAGGTAGTGCTTTGCTACCTCCTTACTGGGATAGCTGATGAATTCTTCAGCAGCCCTACGTATTATCCCATACGTCCTTGAAGACTTTATGGGGGTGCAGCATGGGTAAAATGCAGAGGAGCTCTGAGCTTAGAATTTTGGTATCAGCAGTCTATCTGCTATAATATTGTCCTTGGATTGCGAATGACCTTAGTCTCTAACATACATCCAAACATGATTTTCTCAGTAGACCATATTTGCTGTCTGTCTGTTTGTCTCCGAGGCTGGAGCCATCCACTACTAAAAGCTGCTAACAAGGATAAAACAACGTTGCAAGTAGTTGTGGTCATAGAGAAGAAAAACAAACAAATCCTATCCAACCTGTATCAATTTTACGTAAAAATATAATACCCCTAAGACTTTATACTTCCACAGTTTTGACATCGTGAGACAATCTACTCGTATTTATAAGGGATTTTTTCTTATGGGGACACCTCAAGGCTAGAGTATACGCGAGCAAGCTCCGAACTATGGACGAATTGAAGGGCGAAATTCGCGTGGAAGTCGCCCAAGTTGAGAGAGCGATGTTGGAGAGAGTCTACGCGAACTTCCAAGAACGCCTCCAGCACTGCATCAACGATTTCGGCCACCACATGCCTGATGTGATTTTCCACACTTGACCGTCTCAAATGCTATTTCCTTGTGAACCTGATTCCATCAATAAATTTGTTTTCGAGTAAAAATTAACTATTTTATGATTTTTTTAAAACCGTCCATCCTCTCTGCCGCACCGTGTATTTGTGAGTCATCTGCATATTGTTTTATCTTTGCGAATTTTACCGATTTGACCATGTCAGATATGTAGATTGAAAATAGCAAAGGAGATAAAATTGAACCTTGAGGAACTCCTCTTTTTATAGGTTTAAAATCGGTTTTGTGAATAGCGGAATCATTTGCTAACATAACACAGCTTGAACGGGTGTTTAAGTATGTTTTTATTAGATTTACGGAGCTCTGCGAAAACCCCTGGTAATGTAACTTGGCTAGTAACATTTCATGATTCAGAGTGTCGAACGCTTTACTAGAATCGAGAAGAACCATGAACGTACTATTTTTTTGTTCTTGATGATGTCTGTTATCATACAAGATATTAACTAATGATGTACTTGTGCTAAAGTTTTTCCTGAAACCGGATGGACTATTGGGTATGATATCGTTTGTGTCACAAAAAAGTCTAATTTGATTATAAACATGCCTTTCTAATATTTTGGTTGTAGCGGGTACTATGCTAATAGGCCTCAAGTCTGTAAATTCATTAGGTTTTGCTATTTTTGGTAATGGTTTAACAATAGCTTTCTTCCATATCTCTTGAAATAATCCCCCCAAAATACATGTGTTGATTATATTCAGCAAGGCATTCGTACAAAATGGGATACATAACTTGAGGCTAGGTCTTATCTTGTACAGAGTGATATTATAATAACGGTAAAGCAGTAATTGGTAGTAGGATTAGGCCACAGCTTTTTTTATCAAATGTCTATGCGAGGATGACACACTGACCTATTTTCCTAAGTTTCTATTACTCAATGAATTCATAGCTTTTTTGGGCTTGTAGGCTGGAGATAAAGAAGCCTAATCACGATATCGACTGCTCTATGAGGTATATCCAATCTCCATAAAAAATGAATTAAGTTTTGACCTCATCTTGTATTAATTTGAATATATTTGATCAACGATCTTCAACGGAAGTAGTAAAACAAGGTAAGCCAAAGTCGTTTAATATAACGAAATCCAAATACAAGTGGCTGTAAACTTTAATTTTTATGTGTAAGACTTAAATCTTCATGAGAAAGTGGTGGTTTCGATTTATTTATGCACAAGAGGAACTTTTGCTAGATTTTCGTCTAAAAAACTTAATCTTAGGATGGAGAAAAAGTGCCGACTCTTATTCTTTATAGAAACTCTATGAAGAGAAATTGACGAGAAACAATGCTACTTGAAGTTTTAATAAATTATAGAATATTAAATCAGAGGCATTGCAAGCTCTAGCTGACTCCTATATCCATTTGAGCTGAATTCATTTCGTACCTGCATATGTGTCGTATTCATAATGTAATAACACATAATGAGTCTGATGAGCGCGAAACGTACCAGATCGCAACCAAAGAGATAACGACGGAAATCAATACAGAGTAAACACACAATTTACCTAAAATGTGCTGTCTCGTCGGCCAGCCCTCCGACTGCCTTCACAGTACGAATACACAATTTCCAATATGTTCACAGCCTCCCATGATCACCTCCCGCGTCCGAATCGCGTCCCGCATTCAATTGTTTTCGGGAAAGCAGGAATCTAGTGTGCCGAGAGCGAGCGGGCGCGTGCTGGTCCAGCAGGCGCAGCCTCAGCGGAGGAAACGTTGAGGCAGAGCGAGGGCCAGGTTGAGGATTGAGGGTTGGAGCGAAGGTCGTTTCGATCGGAGGTGGCGCTGCGGACGATAGGTGAACAGGGCGGGAACAGTTCGAAAATTCTACGGCATCAATTCGATTACACCTAATGTTGATAATGTCAACATACAGGGCGTTCCAAAATCGACCGCCGTCGGTAAGAGATACGAATGGGGGCGGAGTTGCGTATTTAGGAAACAAGTAAAACTAAAATCGTTTTACTTGTTTCCTGACTTGATTCGTAGTAGAATTTTTAAATAAATTGCACACTAGTATTACCACCTTTTCTCGTCAAGATGGCATGTATAATTTCAATATGCCGTTTCATTTTTTGTCCTCCAGCGTCAAATTTACTTTTCCTTATGACCGCAATATTGGATTTTTGCGCAGATAAATAAAGTTTTTAATTCTGATTTCAGAAATGTATGATATGCATATACGAGTGTATACGAAAACAGATTTTCCCAGGTAGGCCTTGAAATTATGAGTGTTACGTTATGAATAAACTTAAAAACTATGTTATTAAAAAATACGAAACGCTTTGCAGATACTCGTGTAAACACACGTTGACAAGAGATATTAAATTAATACTTGTAAGCTCATTGATGCTCACACATTTGAATTATATTGTCATAGATTATAATAACTTTCAGAGAGAGAAAGTAAAATAAAAAATTATAATTTGCAAAAGATTTTGTTATAATGATATATGTAGACAAGAGCACATCACTGGTTACTATGTGGGAGAAGATGTTTTAAAATATAAGTACCGTCCATCGCTTTTTTTGGTGCTCTAAAGTTTCAACATATAAATCTTATAAATATCCAAATGATCTATATCTATGATCTCGATTCGCCACGTTTTACTAAGAAACGACGATTGCTATAATAATCCAGGCCTCCACGCCATCTAACATCTAAATTAAAAAATGCCTCCATTTAGACAGCACCTTGTTTATTGGATAGAACTTTTCCAAATTACTCCCGCCATAACCTTAAAAAGGTACATCTCCAGGTGCAAGCTTTTGAAGTTACAGATTATTAGCTAGCGAGTTACTAAACTATTGTATTTAAATTGGTACCGCAATTTTATAACATTGCTATACTTTATATAAAATTAGAGATAAGATGAAGTTCATGACTCTATATACGAGGGTGAATCAAATATGAACCAGTTTTAGTAATTTTAGGTACAAATACAAGTATATTTACATCTTAATTTTCAACATAATCTCTTATTGATGCATTTTCCCATCGTATCGAAAATCTTTTAGTTCCTTTATCTACTGTTTGTTTTTTTATGTATATACATGTTTGTTGACGAACCCTATACATTTTTTATAAATGTCTAATTATTATTATCAAAGAATGAATCTGGTCGTTGTGCCCGAAAGTTTCCACACCGCCGTCGTCAAAGTGGTGACTTCCCACGTCTCCTTGAAGTGGCCCAACCTTGGGTAGTCTCATCGAGAGAGATCGGGACTGTAAGGGAGGTGTTCAAGTGTTTCCCATTGAATTTCGGGTAATTTTTCTTGGGTCAATGCAGCTGTGCGAGGCCGAGCGTTGACATGGAGACGAATGGCACTTCGAATAGGTATGTCTCGCCTTTTTCGCCGATAAGCAGTGTGGAAGACTGATCTTGGCTTTTCATAGTGTTGCCTTTTCAGACTTTCGCCACTCCATGGAAAAAAATTTGCCAGTCGTATACTTGTGTCCTTGAAACTGTTTTATCGCCGAAATATGCTGTTATTCGACTCAAAATTTCGGAAGAATTTACGCCCTCCCGCTAAAAATACTTAATAATATATATATTACGTATATAATAATAATAATAATGCGTACCACAACAGACAAGTGTGAGTAATAATAATAATAATAAATCGTCTTTATTTAGGGGGCGAAGTTTAACATAATGCTACTCTGCCACTTAAGCCCCCCCCAAAAAAAAGAAAATCTGAAAACACAGTACAAAAAACATAAATACATTGGATAAGTTAGAAGATTACAAATGTAGGTGTATAAAAAATATGGTTTATAACATATATAAGTGAAGGCTATTCAATATTTCATGATTTAAAAATATAAAATTGTAACATTCATACAAAACAAAGGAATGCTATATTGGAAATATTTTGTGTGGGGTGACAGATAAATTTTATCAAGTAATTTATATACTTCTATTCAAACAAATTTCTTCGTCTGTCTTTTAAGTTCATCATATGATAGCAATTTTGTGGATCGAGGTAGAGTATTGTAAAAAATAATTGCGTTGTAGGTGAAGCATTTACGAAAGAATGTTGTCCTGTGGAGGGGCATTGTGAGTGTTTCAGTGAATCGAATGTTCCTAGAATGGATATTGCTTCTAGATATCAGCTTATTTCTCAAAAACGGCGGAATGGATGACAGTAAAAGCCTGTGGGGGTAAGTAACTAGGTGTAGCTCACACAGTTCTCTCAACCACTTCATGTCATTGAAAAATGGGCTGATATGATCATACTTTTTCAAATTGTTGATCAAACTACAACATAAGTTTTGGATTTTTTGGAGACGTGCTAGAGATATTGAGTCAAGAAATGGAAGATAAACTAAATCGCAATAACTAATTTTGGACATTACCATGATTCACACAAAAATTCTTTAGTTGTAAAGTCAAGAAATTGTTTATTAAGATATAATTGACGTAAAATTGAAAAACAACTCTTACTGGTATTATTTACATGTGGTATAAAATTTAGACATTCATTTAAAGTTACGCCCAAGTTTTTCACTGACTCACTTACTTCTATAGTCTCACCATTTAATTTTACTTTAAGATTTCTTTTGGCATCACTTCTAAATAGTTTTGGCGAAAAAATGATGACTTTCGATTTAAAAGGGTTCAACTGAAGGTTATGATTTTTTGCATACATGCTAATAGATGTTATGTCTTCATTTACCTCAGATTCAGCATTTCGAAAGTCGTGATTATGGAAATGACTGTAGATCTGTGAATCATCGGCAAAGAATTAGATATTACAATATTTAACAACTGAATGGAGATCAGAAATATACAAAATGAATAGGAACGGCCCAAATACAGACCCTTGAGGCACTCCGGAGGAAATGAGGCACTTTGAAGATAGAACCATGTCAATGTGTACCCTTTGATATAGATTTCCTAAGAAGCTCTGAACCATTTTTGAGTCAGAAAAACCAAAATATTTGCAATTGGCTACTAGAACACGATGATTTATGGTATCGAATGCCTTAGAGAAGTCAAGAAGAACTAATGATGTGATCATATGTTGATCCCAGGCTCTAACAATGTTATAGGTTAAGTCTAATAGGGCACCTGCAGTGTTATATCCTTTTCGATAACCGCATTGTTTGGGAGGCAAAATTTTATTTTTAGAGTTAACCGTAAATTTGGGCGTACATTGCTTTTTCTAATAATTTGGACATAACAGGTAAAATACTAACTGGTATACACAATATAGTTTTGGCTAAATTATTTTGGCTAGAGGTAACCTAATGCTTCTTTACATGATTCTGGAAAGAATCCCCTTTCTAAACAGGTATTTATGATGTGTAAAATGTGACCTGAAATCGCAAAGGAGCATAGTTTTAGCATTTTGAGTGACACGCCATCGCTTCCTAAGGCATTCGATTTCAGAGACTGGAACATCGATTTTAAATCAGTCACATCGATTGGTTTAAACTTGAATCGATCATTAGAATAGTGATTCTTTTCACAATGCTCAATCTTCTCTGTGCATGAACAAATGGGGTTATTAAAAATGGAACAGAAATAACTATTAATGTCAGTAGGGTTCTTTAAATGTAGAGGAATATCGGTATGTTCCCAGGGGTATATTTCTTCCTTATGATGTACACTTTCTCAACAGATCAATTTTAAATGTCGTAGGACTGGTGACAATTATCAACAAACGGTAGGCTTTACAAATAAGTTTGTAGCAAACTATATACTTTCTTTTTATATAAGTCTTGCTTAGACCTGATGCTACTAACAACTCATCTACCTAGGCGTGCCAAGCCGACTCCTCTTTCTGACATTCCCATCCAACATAATATTCCTTGACGTCCGCTGTATTTTATTGTTGAAGAAATCACAGAAATTCCGGAATTCCATTGCCTACAACGACTAAACAATGTTAAAGAACTAGTACTTTTGTAAAATCAGCTTTCAAAAAATTGAACAAGCTGTCAGTTTTGACATAACAGTCTTCGTGAGTTAGCATTTTTGGAACTTGGTAGAAGGTGAGACTAATACATTCGCGAAAAGTTTCTCCTTTATTTTTGAAATTTGCACCTTAGGAGTTTACGAATATATGACACAAGCACGTCTCTTTTAATACATAGAACCGCGGCCAAATCTGTGACACAAAGGGTGTAAGGTCTTCTTGTAAGGTCAGCTCTCAGCTCTATCAAACATCACGGCCTTCACCTTAACAATGACAGCGCCATCTTTTGACATAGCTCAAATAGCCTAACGTTAAATTTGCTTAGAAATTATCCATCGTTTTGCCTACCGCGCATGTCTGGGCTCAAGATCGATAATCCTTAAGGACATGGTCGGCATCTAGCGTATGAAACTTCAAAGTTAGTTTTGTCTTCATGAGAACTTTGTACTTTCAGCAGGTTTTCAAGTAAACTCAAGCACCTTCGGTCGATAGTAACGTTTTTAGACTTTGATGTATAGAAACCACACAATTATTTGATGAAATGCAAGCTTTCTCCATTGGGTGTCACTGGATGTCGTTACAATCCCATGTCCAGTGGCCACTGTAAGCTTTTGAATATAATCTGATTAGATTAATTGGATTTAAAGTCAAATGTATACCTCGTTATTCTCGGTATGTGTTGTTCGCAAAACAGTTGCAATCAACTATGTCGGAGAAATCATGTAAGTATCTCAAGGTTTCCTACTTTCTTCTGCTAACTTAAGCACAAAACTCCATTCTGGCACAAAATTCAATGGCTTTAATTTTAAGAAACACGAAATAATATCAAGTTGCTTTTGGAAACAAAAGTTTGTTTATCTACGTTACTGTCAGTTGACATTTATTTATTATGGAGTTTTCGCTTTAAGATGTCGTATAAATAAGAAATAAGTAGAAGTATCTACACGTCAGTTGGGCGCGTACCCAATGCTGAAGTCTGTCGAGCATTCCAGAATAAAAACATTTCTCGCAGAACCATTAATCGAACATTAGCGAAGTGCAAGCAGAGAATACCATGACTTCTCTCTCTCTCTTCATTAAAAAAACACTGATAAATATTTTGTGCCAAAACTTATAAGCAGATATTTCCATCACAACGTGAGTTTTATGTTAAATGACTGGTTCATTATGTCTGGCTTGTATGGAGCCTTCTTTGTTGCAAGGTCATTGGGAAGGGTTTAAGGAAAACTAAATTCAGTGAAAGATTAAATCTGCAATAAGAAATACCTTATTAGTTATACAGGGTGTTTCAGTTTATTGTTGCATAACTTTAAGATTCGATAGAACTTTTAAAATTAATGCATAAAGTCTATACAAACATGGGTCGAAAAATTTACTTTCTAAAATAGTTTTTTTTTTAAATATTTTGAACAATATTTGATGTATAACAGTGAAAATTGGTATACGAGGGTTTTTTGGTACGACAAAATGAACCATGGGCACAGTTTTACTGTAGCCGCTAGAGGGCGCTCTCTACTGTACCTGCAGTGTATTAAAATGACCGAAAAATTTTTCCTAGTGCAATTTTTTGCTTTTTGAATAAAAAAATAGTTAGCTGTTTTTGAGATATTTCGATTTTTAAGGTTCGATGCATTTTTAATTATTTATGGGTAAATAATTATTTTTTTTTACATTTTCGATTTGGGCATTCCAAGTTATTAAGATGATCATTTAGATTGTGTTTTTAAACGCGGCTATAATTCCTAACTCCAAATAAACACAAAAAACAGAATATTAATTTGTTTATTTTCCAATATTATTTTTAACAAATTAAATTAATTATTTACAACTAAAATGCTATTCGATAGTTGGGACAAACATACAACTAAAGTAGTTGCTCGAAATGTAAACCCAATTGTCCAATACACAATTCACATCTACGAATGATCGAACGTGGTATAGCATTATTCAAATAAGGCCCTATTTCATCACATGCATTCCTGATTCTGTCTATTAGCATATCTCTTGCGGTTACGGGAAGCTGGTACACTTGTTCTTTTAGAAATCCCCACACAAAGAAATCTAATGGATTGTGGTCAGGGGATCGTGGAGGCCAGGCGACTGGTCCTCCACGGCCGATCCATCTTTCTGGATAATTTTCGTCCAGCCAGTTTCTAACTATTCTCGAATAATGAGCTGGACAACCATCAAGCTGGAACCAGGTCAATCTTCTTAAATCTAACATAACATCATCCCACATATTTGCATGTTCAGCCTTTAAAAATTCAAAGAAGGTCGCAACATTTAACCTTGCAGGCAAAAGGTAGGGTCCAAATAGTCGATTATGGTAGATACCAATCCACACGTTCACACTAAATTCATGCTGAAAATTTCTTTCCCGAACTGCATGCGGATTTCCATGCGACCAAATGTGTTGATTATGAAAATTTACCACTCCACGTCTAGTGAAGCATGACTCATCGGTCCATAAAACGTTACTTAGAAACTCCCTATTATTATCAGGTCTATCAAAATGTGATTATTCGTTCTTCGTCCCCTGGTCTTTGCACAGGTTGCAAATGGTAAGGACGTCTATGGTCATTTCTAAGAACACGGTGAACATGGCTTGCTGAAATTCCCAAGGAACCAGAAACTCTCCTAACACTTGTGGTCGGATCTCTATCAAACTCACGCATAATCATACGGGTAAATCTGCGCTGACGAATATTTATGTTTTGATCCCTTTGGAGATTTCCAAAACCATTTTCAATTGTTTGGCGATGCACTCTTACAAATACTGAGCCAGTTGGATGTCGTCTGTTTGTAAATCTTCGTGCGTATTCTCTGGCTGCTTCTGCTGCGTTTTCATTTACAAAGCCATACACAAAATGAATATCCGCTAACTCTTGATTGCAGAATAAAAATGGCATTTTTATAAAACTTACAAAAAAGACAGGTAAAAGAAACTAAATTTCGTGCATTCACAACTGCAAAAAAACGTTTCAGGTTTCAACAGACAACAAAACTAACTCTCAACAAATTGACGTTTAACCTTATTCTGATTTCAATTTAAAAATATTTGCAGGAACAGCCTACTTCTAAAAATTATCGAGATACTGACTTTTTAACGTTGTTTTATCATAAATAATTAAAAATGCATCGTACCTTAAAAATCGAAATACCTCAAAAACGGCTAACTATAACGAAAATTCACAAGAGAACTTTTTTATGTTGAAAAGTGCGAAGAATAATTTTTTTTATTCAAAAAGCAAAAAATTGCACCAAGAAAAAAATTTCGGTCCTTTTAATACACTACAGGTACAGTAGAGAGCGCCCTCTAGCGGTACAGTAAAACTATACCCATGGTTCGTTTTGTCGTACCAAAAAACCCTTGTATACCAATTTTCACTGTTATGTATATATTGTTCGAACTATTTAAAAAAACTATTTTAGAAAGTAAATTTAAAGACCCTGTATTTTGGACGCCACGCATTTTTCGACCCATGTTTATATAGACTTTATGCATTCATTTTAAAAGTTCTATCGAATCTTAAAGTTATGCAACAATAAACTGAAACACCCTGTATATTGAAACAAAGTCAACACAGTGTTACAGAATAATTTGTTTCATATATCCAGTGGATGATGGAATAATAACTGTTCGTTACGACTGATTTTTATAATCCAACCACCTTATTTAACGCCGTTTTTTGCAGTGCCTGTTGTGGCTAAAGGCGGAAAACGCTACACCGACGGAACATCCTACGTTGGAGATTGGGATTCAGAGGGAAGAAGACAGGGTGAAGGACACATCTCCTTTCCAGATGGTATCCGGTACGATGGGTCGTTTGAACAAGGTCTTTTCAGCGGGTTTGGAGTATTGACATTTCCGGATGGAGCTAAGTAATGATACGGATTGGGTATTTCAAGCTGATCAGTAACGTGGAATGGTGTTGTAGGTATGAGGGAGAATTTTTCCAAGGGTGGTTCCATGGATATGGCATCTTCTGGAGAGCTGACGGTACTAGACATGAAGGAGAGTTCAGAGGTGGTAAAATATGGGGATTAGGTAAAGACAAATGAAAACATTTGCGAAAAGTAAATGTGACACGGTCACCTATGAGTAGTTCCATTAATTGTGGTACTACCGACTCCTAGATATGGCTACTAAGTACTCACAATGCATTAACGCTGCACAAACTAAATGCAAGCTGGATATGCAACGTCGTCTCATGCTTATTAGCAACCGTCAGTATGGTATAAGTCAAGTCATTTAGAGATAACTAGTATTTATCGCTACAAAATACAACTATCCCAGACTTACTTCTTTATAAGAACTAACGGTTTCTCAGAAAACGCTTTATTGATGTGGTTGAAAAGCTGATCATTTTTTGTCCTAACGTGAACAAGCATATATTTAAAATATCTTTGTATGTCTTTGTCACTTTATAAATTTTTGTATTACACATAGTCGCATTCTCTTCATCCTCTTTGTTTTTTAGGATTAACAACATTTGGTGACAACACAAACGGATTTCCCAGAAATGAAGGGTTTTTCCAAGACTGTCAGTTAAAAAAGCTTATGAAGTGTCCAGAGGTCATTCAGAAAGCACAGAAGATTGCGTTCATGGCTAGAAACCGATTCATCACAAACGCAGATATGTAGTTAGATAAAATGTTCAACTATATAGAATTTTGCTTGCAGTATGAAGCTCGATTTCAATAAAGGTTGTTTGCTATTAGCTAAAATATTATATTCCTAGGTTTTATCGATAGTAATAATAAGAGCAAGGAAAAACAAGATGCTTGAAAAGCGGCATCTAAGACTACATACTACAAACAAAAATACGGGAAATGAGAAATTCTCCCTGTGAGTAATCAATAACGTGGAAGCCGCTTTCACAGTTGATCTAGGTGACGGCAGATGGCAGGTGAATGCAGGAGCTGAAGCAAGCCCCTGACCTGCAATTTGCTTCCAGATTTCAGAGCTTGATTTATGCACAAGATACATGATAAGCTGTTTTGGAGAATCTATAAGATTTTAGATAACGAAAATTATACTGATTGAGGCTTATGATGCATGCTTTAGTACTTGGTATTCATCAAATATATCTTAGAATGTACGAAGAGCATGTGTGTATAGTTACAAACTCAAGGTCGGCTATGGCGTTTGGAAGACAAGTCTTATTGATGACAATATATACACCTTAGCCGGCAGGTAGACCAATAGATAAAACAACAAGCAGGCGGAAGAGAAAACGGACAAAAAGGCAGAATCATGGTTAAATTACCTTGCTGCTCGCCGTAAGTAACAAATTAATATTATCAGTCGATGCTATGACCTGTTTCGCCAGCTGAACTCACAGCGCTTTACTGAATTGGTGGGAAAGGGACTCTATACTCTATGAACGAAAAAAATACTCATAACTTGCGATTCCGAAGAATTGCTACTGTGAAAACAGATTGGGTCTACTGAATAGTCCTATATGTCCTTAGGTGACAACAAAATGAAGCCATCTTCATCTTTGGGGAAGCTCTGTTGAATAATATTAGGTCCTACGCAATTTACGACCTTTTGGTAAAGTGACTGCTATCTGTACGTCTTGCCAATAGGTGTAAAAAAATGGTTCAGTAGTTGTTGGATATGGTCCTTATTTTTTAATTATTTCTCCTACAGAAACTCTTGTAAAGACAACATATTTGATATTTGGAGGATGCTGGGTGTGATGAGTATGGGTGATGTCACAGAATTTATAAAACAAAGCTCTGCAACTTTTAGGATCTTTAAAGCAGTACATGGTTTGGCACTATAAGGCAGTTTAGTATAATTGTCCTTTCCACTAAATATCGCTGTTATTTTTTCTCTAAGCGGTATCTAGTTGCTGGCAATACCAAATTCAGCTTTCGGTTCGGTTTCAACGTCTCGTAATGAATTGATCTAAACTGTATCCATCGAAGAAACAAAGTAAAATCAAACATATACACCCGTATTGCACGTGATCAAGAACTTAACCGTAGGAGACGTTACAGGGCCGTATCGAGCTATTGTGACTGATCTATCAAAAAATGTCGTACAAGATATGTGTTGCTGTAAATTCTATCAAAAGCATAGTAAATTATCAGGAATATACCACGCCTTTCTAATCATATTTCGACATTAGGAATCAGTGCAAAAAATTCTGTATTCACCATTTCAGCAAAATGTTACTAAAACGCACACGAAAAAAACTTGTGGACCATCTCAATTGAAATTGTTTATATTTTATTATTAACTTACATATATACCCAATAATATTTACAAATCAACCTTCTATTCACAATGCAGAGCAAACTTTTTTGAGCAAATAGAAACTACAGACGTAGTAGTAGTACAAAAGTTTATTACAGACTCCATAAAGTTTGTTAGTTTGATTGCTATTAAAATTTACATGAGAAATAGGAAGAAGGTCAAAATGGCACTATTATGCTTTGGAACTCCTAAATTAACCCTAATTTTGTGTAATTATAAATTTGGAATTTCCACATTAATAACTAGAAGCTTACACTTTGATTGCAGTCTATAATGAACTTACCTGTCTTGCCAAAAAGCCCGTTAAACTGCCAGTCTTAATGGTATCAATCGATTTATATGCTGTATTCCGAAGAGCTTGAATCATCAGAATTGTTGATGTCAATTATAAGGGGTTCAACTTGGGTGTCATTGATATTGTCCATATCCCACATTTTGGTTTCAACCTTCTCTTGGACATGGTCAATACATGTTCTCCATTTTGCTGGCGTAATTCTATCGACAGCAACATCAAACAGTTTTTTAAGGTCAGAAAACTTAAAAGTGCTGTTATTTGACGCCACGTATTGCTTGATGTCGGCCCAAATTAACTCGATAGGATTCAGTTCGCAGTGATAGGGAGGCAGCCTGAGAATCGTTTTATTTTGGTTTTTGGCAATTTCGTCAACAATTTTTAAATCATATTTATACTTATGTCGCTTGACTATATTTATCAGCTCAGCTTTGACCATTGTTTGGTCGAAGTCGATCTTCTTTGAGACAAGCCACTGTTGAATGTCTGCCTTTTTGGTGGCCATTGTTGGAATTTTTTCCAATTTTCTGGAGTGGTACGGGGCATTATCCATCACAATAATTGCGTTATCATCAAGTTTTCCTCAAAATTTTTTTGAACCAATTTTCAAATGAGTTACTATCCATTTCTTCGTGATAGTCTCCAGTTTTTTTGGATTCAAATGCCCACAATGCTTCAGGAACAAATCCATCTACGCTACCTATGTGGCAAATGATCAGGCGTTTTCCCTTGCCTGAAAGTAATTAGTTATTTTACTTCTCAGCGAGCGCACTAAATGACGAAATTAAGCAACTTACTCCTTTTAGGTTAGTGTAGGATAGGGTCTTAGATTAGTTTTTGGGTGAAGGAAATACTCAGAAACTTGGATGAGATAGCAAAACTGAGTTCGGAGCTTCCAAATCATTGATTCGATCAGAAAATGAATTATCTGCATCCAAAAAAGTTCATATACTTCGAAACTTACCTGCAGGATTTTTCAATCCCGTCGAAAGGCCATCTAAAAAAGCCTGCCTTGAGGACCTCACAGATCTGTCTACCCAAACCTTTCCCTGCGTATGCCCCGCGTTCACCCATGTTTCGTCTAAATAATAAATTTTTCTTCCTTCAGCGCGGAATTGCCTAATTTTTCTAAGGTATTCTCTCCTCCAGATAACAATTTCCTCCTTTTCTATCAATAAACTATTCCTTCCTCTTTTCAAAAATCGAAAGTCTAGTTCTTTCAACAGCTTATGGAACGTAGATCTTTTAAAATTTGGCAGGTCCTCATCATCATTCACTTGCTTCAATATTTTATCTATTGTAGGTATTTCATTCCTGAAGAAAAAGTGATGTACTTTTCTTCTAATGGCACTTTTGTCAAAGTCATCTATTTTTTCGATGACTTTTTTTCTCGCTGGATATGTTTTTGGCTCAGATAGTGAGTGATTTTGTCTATATTCCTTCAAGATTTTGTAAACACTTGATCGACCTACTCCAGAAATTTCAGCAACCTTACATACGATATTTTCTATAGCCAATCCACTATTCTCTTGCATCTGGTTCTTGTAGATATTTAGAATAATTTGTTTTTCACCTGCGCTAAGATGAAGCTTTTTAGCCCTTTTTCTGGGTGACGTTAAGCTGATTTCAACCACTTCATCAGCTGTATCTGTGTCAGACATTTTAGACTAATATTAAATTTCCGCAAGAAAAATCAAGTCAAGACGTGCATAAAACGTTCGCGCTCATAAACGGGTATCCGTAACTGATTACAATCCTGTGCGTGGTGACGAACCATCAACGTGACGCTGAGAGTTCCCTCTACTATGCAGCGTCGCCAGGCTTAATGTCACAATGATCATGTTTTATTGGGAAAATTGTCAGAAATCGCCGAATGTTGAACAGAAACATTACAAGAAGTCCAGCCTTGAAATGTGAGGCTACAAATCGATATTCTTATAGGGGGGAAGGGTAGGGAGCTGTTATGGTTCCTATTAACCTTGGTGAAAGTTGGAAACGGTAATATCATATATGGCATACATTCGGTTGAAGGTGTGTGCACGGAAAATAGATTGCGGATAGGATTTTAATAGATAAATCTGCACAAAAAAACACAAAAGGAGATTTCTGTATTTCCCTGAAGAATATCTCAAGGTTATTTCAGATGTACTCATCGAAACTTTATGGAAGGATTATCGAAACCTTATTTTCAATTGCGATAGGGCCACATACCTCGACATCGCATTAATGTGAAAAATAAGACAATAGAAAAAAATTCCCTCACTGATGCTATCTCTTAGGAAAAATTTAACTATAAAGATTGCACAAAAATTTTCTTGTTTTCGCATCTCCGTATATGCCGTTCATAATTTGCTGCAGATCAAATTGGAATATACCTTTGTGATGCCATTTATTGTTATATAATGTCCTTTACAACAGTTATTGCACGTATTGCACCAACAGATTGATTTGTGATCCATGCGAATGTGATCAACCACTCTGGCGAAAACTCGCCGAGCGTGGCAACCGTGCGACTTTGTCTGGAGGCTCGTCGCTACAAGCCAATCAGGAAGAGGCCGACAGAGCGCCATGGCTACCGATCACGCGTTGATCACGAATCAACCACTGTTTACGATTACTTTGTAGCTTCGTTAGATACACTTTACAGATGACCCACTATATACAAATTTCCTTGCTAAGGCTCAAATTCGGCTTGGAAGAACAGGTAGCAGAGCTTCACGCTTCGAAATATGCTTTTTTCGTCACGATATTTCGTAAATGATCCACAAGGGTCATTTTCATGTTGTCATTTCTCCAACCTTCCGTCAACAGAATCCTAAACTACTTTATGGGGCATTGTTGTTTTAAATTTTTGCTTTTTAATTGCAAATACTTGGACTTATCCTTTAAATGATGTCTATTAATTGATGAAAGATCTAACATCTTAAAGGTCACTCACCTTTAACTTCTTCAGGCAGGATCCGCAGGGGTATCATGTAAAAAACCTATAAAACGTCAAAAAAAACCTGATGTCAACTTGCAGACTAGGTCGTTTTTAGGGCGCAAACAGTCATTCCACGTTTGCTCACTAGGATCGTTGTGAACGTCCATCTATGGAGGGATCACTCAACTAAACTTAACGCATTATTGGTTGCATATGTTTTGTGAGACCGAATGGTCCTTGTTTGTAGCTTTTATCTCTGAGAAGAAAGTTGATTGAATAGCAAGATCGCATCTGGATGATTATGTGCCAATGCCTGCAACAGGGTATAAAATCAGTGATATTACTATTATCTATATGTTGTGCTTTCTGGAGATAGGTTATGCTCAAAGTTATAAATTACGAAAAACTGAGGAGAATTACGGGAAATCATCACCGCGCCCGCAATGTGTGTAACTACTGTTAGCATGTATATGGCTTGTAATCCGACAGTGTAAGTGAATATAATTATTTCTCATCTCTCTCATATTTGAAATTCAGCAAATCTGTATATGTAACTTCCAGAATGGA